ATCTCTTCACACACATGGAATTTTTAGGTGAGGCTTCCAAATTTGGAAAGAAGACTTCCGGGGCTACAGTTTAGGCTCAAGAATGACCTGAAAAGGCATCCAGATGAAGGATTTAGGCTTTCTTCAAAACAGGGACTAGGACTTATTTTTGTTGCCGGCCTCTATGGGAGTGTGCTGGCCATGATTGGCCAATGCCGGCCAAAAGTGAGGCCCTGCCGGCCATCAATGAGCCACTGCTGGCCATTGATGATGGCCGGCACCCTTCCTGTCTTAACTGGTTTTCCTCTAGATCTTTTGAGCCAACTGGTTTTTTGTTTGCTCCCCTCCATACACGTGTATGGAGGGATAAAGGCCTTGCAAAGCTTCTTGAAGAAGCTTTGGCTTTTCATTCCTCTATATAAGGAAGAGGCTTCTTCCTTAGAGAGGTTTCTGAACTTTTGAAGAGGAAAAACTCCATTTCTCTCTATATTGCTTGAGTTTAGTGCTTAGAAATTGGATTTTCTTTCACTTTTACACTACAACACATAGAGACACACCACCACCATTGAACCAAGCTTCTTGGGAGGTCTTTTTGAGGTCTGAAAGCAAGCTTCCACCCCCTGAAATTGCTGGTTTCGAAGAGGGTCTTCAAAGGTGAGCATTTCTCCCATTTTTGCACTTTCTTGCACCTTGCTTTAGCCCTCTTTGCATATTTATTTAGGATTTGCTTATAACTGAAAAAGTCTTGTTTTTAAGTTCTTTTTAAGTTTGTTTAAGGTTATTTTGCTGTTTGGGGTGTGTAGCCCCCTTGCATGTTTTGTTTGGCTTTGTTTTAAGCCATATCTTGAGGCCTCCGAGCTAGTCTTGGTTTGGCCTTCCTACCATTGAAATCCAGTGGGATTTTGGTGGTAGAAGTGTGGTTTTGAGGTCCTAAATCAAGGGGGGTATTCCCCTCTCTTTGTGTTCCTCTTTGCTTGCATTTTTGGCCTTCCAAAGGACCATCCCTCTATGCATTTTTGAGGCATGGTCCAGGCCTATTTTTGTGACTTTTAGGACCTGCCTTGGCCCTTTCCATGGCTGGTTTGGTCATATTCTACTTGCATCTAGCATGTGTAGTGTAACTCCATTCATAGCTTATCAAAGTAGCATGTGTGCTTAGCTTGTGTTGAATCCATTTCAGTAGGTTTTTGGTGATGTTTTACCATGCCATGAATCTGTTTTGAGTTGGTTTTGTCACTCCATGCTTGCATAATACACTTGTAGTGTAATTTTGCTCCCTAGCCATAGCTTGTTTCATGTTTTAGCCTATCTTCCTAACATGTGCTAACTTAACTTTGGCCTGCAATAGTCCGTATTTTGCTGTGATTAAGCTCTATTTTGAGGTGTTAAAGTAGCTTGTGCATTGCTTTGCATGGTTGTGGTTTAAATGCTTAGAATGGCCTAAAGGAGAACATGCTTTTCTAGTTTGTTTGGACTATTTTCCAACATGTTTTAGGCCCCAAATTAACATGTAGAAACTCTGTTTTGGGCTGGATAAAACTCTCATGCATTGCATTACATTGTTGTAGTCCATGTGCTTCAAGAGTCCATTGTTTGGGCAAATCATTTGAGCTTGTTTTGGTGTATGATCATGGCATTTTCAGCATCAATATGGCATGTAAGGTGACTGTTTTGAGGTGTTTGAGACCTGCAAGCATTGTATCATATAGCTCTAGTTTATGTGCTTCATTGGCCTCTTGCATGAACATACTTAATCAGCTTGTTTTGGACTTGCTTTCTTGCACTTTGGCCACTGTTTTGGGATGGGCTGAGGTCTGCCCCTTTATGGTTTAAGCCCACCAATGCATATTTGACATGTTGCATTACATTGGTCGCATGCTTACATCATATCACGTTCGCACGTTTGCACGTTATTTAGCTAGTTGCATTGTGTATCCTTGTTGCATACTTAGTGTGTTTGCGTTACATTAGCTTAGTTTGCACACTCGCATGCTTAGTTGCATAGAATTTGGCATGCCTTGCAAATTTGAGCCTCATATTGCATATTTGAGCTACATAAAGCATACGTGCATTGCATTGTTCGGATTAAGTGTTAATCTGAGCACGGGAAACGATGAACATTTCATACTTCAAGTGATGAAACGTGCCTCAATTCTCGGTCGCCGACACTCTTGATTATCCATGATAGAGTTCTAGGCACTTATGTGTTTATTTGTCTCAATTCTCGGTCGCCGAAGCTCTTGATGATTCATGATAGAGTTCTAGGCTTTACTTGCTTTATTTGTGCATTCATTTTCATATTGATTTGCACAAGTTGGATCTTTGGCCATCATGCATCGGGATGCGTGATTGATGGTCGTGGATCCGACTAGGCCTCTCCCTTGATGTTTTGAGGTGATTTGGAGTGCCATGGTGCGTACATGTCCTTGGGAAACCCTCATTTTTCTCTATTTTGTGCTTCGTTACAGTTTGGTGTCACAGCACACCAGTGGCCGGCAGCCTGCCATTGATGGCCGGCAGTGTGCCATCTTTGGCCGGCAATGGACCATCTTTGGCCGGCAGATGTCCTTTCCTGGCTGATAGGCCACTAGTGACTTCCCCTGTAGTATTTTGGTAAGGTCCAGCAACAAGCACTAGAAGACACCCTGTAAATAAAGCCTCTAAAGAGCAACCAAAAGGCCTTCCAAAGCAAGGAACCGAAGCGAGCATGCATGCCTCCCTTCTTTAAACAGAGCTGGAATAGCACCGTTTACTGTTTTCCCTACTTGCTTGTTGTCATTCATTAATTAGTTACTTGATTCGTTAATTAATTAACTTGTGTAATAATTAGTTGTAGCTAGTTATTCAATTTGGTTCTGTAATAATTAATTAGCTTGTGAGTTAGTTAATTATGTGGCTTGTATTATTTATTCGGACCCTCCGAGGGAGGGCACAATTGTAATAAGTGTGCGTGCGTGTGATGTATGTCTTCCAATCCCACGTCTTTCTCCTTTTTATTTACCCGCTTATGATGGTTAGATTAGGGCATGTTTCAATTAGCATACTTATGCTTGCATGTTTGCATCATTCATTTGTATTGCATGCACCGGGCTTGGCGCATCATACTAACTGCATTGTATTTCAATTCCGAGTTGGATACTTGTTAGTTTTAGCATTTCGCATGCCATCCTTAGAATAGCCGAGCCTACTATAGTTGCATTTTGCATGTGTTGCATTAGGCATTTCAGCATAGTTAGGATTCATGCATGATTTCTAATCAGCTTCTATTTTGGCTTGGAGTACTCAGTAAGTTTTATGCTTTAGCATCCTTGCATGTGTGTGAGTGACTGCCATGATAGCATGCTTACCATGAGCCTATGTGCTTATGTGATATACCTGCCTGAATACCTGTGGGTGAAGGTTGGGTTATTTGGATTAGAACAACTCATCGACTGCGAGTTTTAAGCCCACTAGAGAATGGCAAAACCATGTTTTCAAAGCCTACCTGAGGGTGGCAAATCCACATTTTAAGCCTACTTGCGAGTAACAAACCGTTTTCAAAACAAACATGAGATGTTTCGTTCCAATTCAGGCGATCCAGTCTATACTTGTATGCTGTGCGCATCACATAGTAAATCTAGGCTAATAACCGGAATAAGAACGCATAATATTTTCAAAGCTAGATATCATGGTTAGTAGAGGCCGATCTTTGATCGGGCTAGCGGGGGTGCTCACGAAGTGACCTTCCCCAATCGTACCCAAGTTCCCGAGCCGAGGCAACTTTGGTGATGACGGACACGTGGCCTTAGATAACGAGTCAGGGTTTCCTAAATTTCTCAAAATAAAATATTTAGGTGGCGACTCTGTATCTGGCAAAGCATTCATGTTTGGCACTTCTTTCAAAAAAATCTATTTTCAAAAACGATTTGCTGGATTTGGACTCTTTGATGATTCATCGGTTTTGCATTGCACTCTGCGAGATTAGATACAGGACCGTGACTTTGAGTCCTGAACTGTAGTGAGCCCAATGAACAAAACGAGATTTCCCTTCCGGGGCGTTCGGGGACGTCTACACATACAAATCAAGAAGGATGGAAGTAAAATAGAGTGCAACAATGGTGAGAGTGAAAAACAATAAAAGAACAATGTAGGCCTTAACATGATATTTTTGTTTTCAAAAGATATATACTGAGAATTTTTGCTCCTAAAAATGTGTACAAAAAAATTTAATCTTAAGATTTGTTGTATATTAATATTTATAGTGATCATTTTATTTTGGGTAAATTACAAATACACTCTCTGAGGTTTGCTTAAAATATAGATTATTCCTTTTGGTTTGAAAAATTACAAATACCCCTTTATTAGAATTTTTTATTTAACAAAATTAACTAAAAAAATGAAATTCATAATTATTATCTTATATAATAATAAAATTACCTAAATTATTAATTGAAATATATTTTTAATATCATTAAAAATTATTAATTAACTTGATGATTTATTAATAAAATGGACGATTTATTATGAAATTAGAAATCTCATAAGGTGGAATGTAATTTTCAAAACTATAGATGGCGATTTATATTTTAATCAAATCTCAAGAGCCGTATTTATAATTTACCATTTTATTTAATGATAAAATTATAATAAAAATTTAATTCATTAAATACATGTTTAGTTTTGACTTTTTGGCTTAAAAAAGTACAAAAGACAAAATCAACTGTATAAGTTAATGATACAAAATGTCGTATTTAAATTATAATCTTTACACATTTTTTTCTGAAAAAAAAACTACAATAATTAAAAAATCAAAAAAACCAGACTATTTCTAAAAGGACACCACACAATAAAAATAGAGAATTATCTAAAAGGAAATGGTAGAGAGCTCTAAATTTAGAGCTCTAATTTAAGCTCTAGTGCAAAAAATAAATAAATAAAATAAAATAAAACACAAACATCACATCAGATGAATCTCACCTTCCCATTAGAGTTATCAGAGCTCCTTGTATTAGAGCTCTAAAGCATTTTTGTTACCCAAAACCTTCGGCGCCTGCGGATTGCATTTCACCTTCCTTTCGTCTTTCTCCGCGTTATTATCGTAGAAGTAGAACCCTCCACGAACCAACCACACATCGAAAGAAGCAAACAGCCTTTCTTGAATGAATTCCCGCTGGCTATATTAAAATTGAAATTGCAGCAGCCTTCCCAAATTTCAAATTAGGCCTTCAATTCTTTTTTCGGAAAACTATAATTTAGTTTCTTTGTCGAATCGATTTTGAGATAGATTTAACCTATCGAAATCAGGATCTCGAGTTTCGAGTTCGGAGGCGGCGATGGATCGGCAACACCGAGCTCCGGTCGCCATTCACGGCGGTGGAGGAAGAGAATTGGCTTCGAGTAGTTGGCTGGGAGGATTTGGTGGTTGCAGCAGTGGCGGAGGAGGAGGAGGAGGACAGTTGGCTGGTTTTAGCCACGAAAGCGAGCATGATTTGTCTATTATGGTCAGAGATTTCTTGGAGAATGGTAGCAGTGGAAACGAATCTTGGTGTAGCAGCGAGAGCGATTCTGGTTCCTCCGATCTCGCTTCTCTCGCCGATAAGATTTTGGTGCCTCTCTCTCTCTCTCATCTAATTTTGTCTTACTATGTCATTTTTGGAACCCTAGTGAGGTATTGATGTAGTTTCTCTAGTTACTATTATTCTAAACATGGCAATAGTTGCATTTGAAGTCCCTTGGTTTTAGAACCAAATTAGGTCATAACTGCGAATTCTATGTCCTACAAATCATACAGAAATGAAAAATATTAGGGTTCCCAAATATTTTACTAAGGCACACAATAACAAAGTCATAGGAAAAAAAGAAAAGAAAAAAAATTAAATGTGCATTAACCTGGTTCTTGCAAGCAAGGACATGTTAACTTGTGTGAATTTGCGTAGCATTGTGTAATGTGTGCCATGATAGGACTTTAAGTTGGAGGTCTAATAATGACTTCAACCCACACGGTAACTGAAGAGACAAGATCTGTCTATAAACAATTGTTAAATTTGGATTATTGCTGTGAAGCAATTTCCATTTCTTTGTACTTTGAACTGCAAATCATGTCATGAATATTAAGATACACGTCGAAGTTTCAGAAATATTAGGCAGGAAATGGTAGTAAAACATACACATTACAAATGTATTTGAAAAACGAAATATATAGTAAGATATAACTCATTTTCTGATCTGATTGTTTTATCAAATGCGTAAGACACTGTGTAGTCTCACCTTCCCCTTTTTTGCACCTTGTTTTATGTTTCCTGTTCTTTCAAAACACTGCACCTCAGCATCACTACCTGCTATCCTTTTATTTTATTTTCTTCAAAGACTTAAAACATCTTCCACAACGTGTATACAATTATTAACACTTTGTGAGTTTTGATTGGGTGTTACTTGATTTGAGTGATGCCCATCCCTATTTACATCCTTGCAATAGTCTACTCTCAAATGTATTTTAGTATCACCGCCTTAACACCATTATTGCATTCCAAGTGGGATGTTTACTATATTTTCTCTCAAGAACCATGTTTTAATAAAGAAATCAACATACCTAGACACTATATTACATGCTTGACATGTTAAAGGGCATTGCTTATTCAAACACTTAATAGTTGCCTCCTTTGCGAGTGGCAACTGGAAATGTACTTCAATGAAGTTTTTACAATTTTATAGAGAAAAATACATCTTCCTTAGAGATTTCCAATAGAATATATAAGAGGGAGGGAGGGAGGGAGCTATTCCACTTACACTCTTTTACTATTGATGGCCTCGAAGTCCAAACTCAGTACTCGACATTGTAAATGTATGATCTTAGGCATCTTACTTTGTACAAAATATTGAGTGACTGTGACACATAAACACGGGTAGACATGTGATTATTGTAGGCCAATCAAGTGTTGAAGGTAAAAATGAGAAGGTGTTAGAAGAGTCATGATTTATGCAATAGATGGCTTCATATTTAAAGAACAATAGGATAATGAGCTTAGTGGAAGAAATGATGCTAAGATGGGTGATTGTTAAAAGGGGTATAATTTGAAACAGTAGAAGTACGTATATGAATAGGTGACGAGATGAGATGAAAGGATGGTTGTCTATAATGATGGCGAAGATTCATCTAGCCAACTTTTGTTGGCATTTATGATATGTATTTGTCAATGCATCGACAAAACCGTTCAAATTTCTGGTTAATATAGTTACGGCATCTTAAGAATGAAGCGGGTATATGTAGTTTAGCATTGATTAATTTTTGATGTCTTTAGTTACTTCATTTATCATCAATGATTACTTGAAAAGACTTATTATTTATTGCTAGTTAAAAATAATATCTAATTTGTCTCAATAGAATAAATGTTCTTGGCAGTCAAGAAGCCAAGGAACTACCTAATAAAGTGAAAATAGTGCTACGCACAGTCCAAGTATGTTCCGTTTCTCGAGATCCATGCTTAGGATGCAGAGTTGGCCGAATTTCCCGTTAATTATTGATATTTGTAGTTATGTCATTTATTATCAACGATGGTTATCTATAGTGATGGCGAATATTCATCTAGATAGCTTTTGTTAGCATTTATGATATGTATTTGCAAATGTGTTCACAAAACCGTCCAAATCTCTAGTTAATATAGTTACATCTTAAGAATGAAGTGGGTATATGTACTTTAGCATTAATTAATTATCGACATCTTTAGTTACTTCATTTGATCATCAATGATTGCGTGGACTTATTGTTTATTGCTAGGTAAAAATAAATTCTCGTGATATTGCCAAATTTTTTCCCAAATGATTAATTAAGGTCCTATAGTTGGATTTACATCAAAATAGAAGTAATGTTCTTGTTGCTCAAGAGGTCTAGGAAATCTCTGGTTAATATAGTTACATCATAAGAATGAAGTGGGTATATGTACTTTAGCATTAATTAATTATTGGCATCTTTAGTTACTTCATTTATCAATGATTACTTGGACTTAATCGTTTATTGTTTGGTAAAAATAAATTCTTTAGATACTGCCAATTTTTTTTTCCCCAAATGATTAATTGAGGTCCTATAGTTGGATTTACATCAAAATATAAGTAATGTTCTTGTTGCTCAAGTGGTCTAGGAACTAGGAATTACCTAATAAAGTGAAAATTTCTCGAGGCCAATGCTTAGAATGCAGAGTTGCCCAAAGTTCCCTCTGCTATCTTTAGCCAAGGAGGTTGAGCCACCTGACCCCCCATGATTTGGCCACCCTATATAAGGGGATGCCTTCCATGTATGCAATGAACATATCCATCACCTTTTGCTTCCCGGTACTACACAGTGCTCTTCATGGCCACACCATCCCCTGGTTAAGGTTGCCTTTACTCTCTCCTCCACCTCTGGTTATCTCCAGCCAGCTCAGTGCCTTCCATCTTCTAGAGGGTATCCCTTGGCCAACTCATCTTCCATCATCCATAGTATGAAAAGTGATTTTGGGAGATGCCGTCGCTAATGTAGGTGTTTTTGATGGGCACACTTCATCCAAGTGTACGCATGTTTGGGCTGCTAATATGAATATGCATCTCCCTTTATTAGTTGTGTTGCATGGACATAGGCACACCATAGGTTCTTAAAGACAAACATTTATACTAAGGTAAATTCTTAAAGTAGAAGATATGCACACAACCGTGAATATGAGAATATATCTACATACGTAGGTTCATGACGTCAAATTCACAATTAGGACTTCCCCCAAAAGTGAGTTTTTTGTTAGAAAATCTCAACTAAATCTCACTTCTCATGTTTTAGTTGTACTGTAAATTTTAGGTGGCCACTCTTTGCTGATTTTCAGCTATTTTGCAGTTGTATAAGCACTCAGTGGACCAGTACGAGAGTGATCTTGTAACAGTGGTTCAATCCTCAATTCTCTCTATTGATGAGGCCAACCATCAGTTCGACAAATCCGACTCGTGTAGTGCTAGCTGCATCAGGCTCTCCCTTGTAAAGCTCTTGCAATCTTCTGGTTATGATGCAGCTATATGTGCAACCAAGTGGCAGGTTGTTGGCAAAATTCCTGGAGGTATGTTTGCATTTTTTCTGTGCTTTGAATTTATTGTTTCCATTTCCACCATAAAAGCTGTTTCCATATATATTTTTTATTTTAAAAAGCTGTTTTTATTACTTGATAATTTTTTTGTATATAAATTGTGTTTGTGTATCATTACTCAATATGGCTTGATTCTTTATAAATATTTTTGTGCTGCTTATGATGAAGGTGATCATGAGTTCATTGATGTGATCAACCATTGTGAAGACGGCTGCTCAGAACGTTACATCATTGACATTGACTTTCGAAGCCACTTTGAAATAGCAAGAGCCGTTCGATCCTATGATGTGGTTTTGAGAGCTCTTCCACCGGTTTACGTGGGTTCCATTTCCAAGCTCAAACAGCTCCTTCAAGCAATGGTGGAAGCTTCAAGATTGTCTCTCAAGCAGAACTCAATGCCTCTTCCTCCCTGGCGGTCGCTTGCATATTTGCAAGCGAAATGGGAATCTACCTGCCAGAGAGTGGTTAGACCATATGAGCAAAGCACCAAACAAATCTACTCTTCTGCTCATCAGCAGTGTAGCGGGCTATTAAGGAGGTTGAAATCTGTATGCGATCAGAATCAGAGCAGGAATGCTGAGAAGATCTCCAAAAACCGATAGAAAGCAGAGGCTTGAGCTCAAAAGATGGAGGAATTCTTCGTTCAACGATAGATGCAGAGATTTTGGTGGGATGGTATGAAATTACCTTATTAGATAGCAGTTCAGAAGATCAAAATGCAATTTTCTTCCTTTCATTTGATATCTTAGATATAATATAGTAGCAATACTAACAATATAGTCATACCAATATAGCTGATCAAAAAAAAAAAAACTGGGGTATGCCAATTTTATTTTATTTTTTGCTTGGATTGTGAACAATGAGGTCATGTCACGAAATTTTGTTTCTCTCAATATGTTTATTTTAAATCTTGATGTAATTGATATGTATACCTCGGTTTTCTTTTGGTTATCATGTGTTGTATACCTGTACTCAATGCTAGTTTGTTTTAATGTTTTTATTTATTTTTTATTTTTATGATAAGCTGTTCCTTGAACCTTTTATAATTGCATCCTTTATCTGTAGAATATATCAACTATGTTTGCATTGAGTCTCTCTCTCTCTCTCTCTCTCTCTCTCTCTCCTGTATTTGCATATTCGATTTTTATTTTTCTATTTTTCGCATGGCCATGACCGGTAGAAGACAGACAGAATGTCTCAACAATGTCAGCTTTAAGAGCTTCCACAGCCTCAAAGACTCTGAACAGCCTCAATAGCTTCCAAATCTGAAGTGACGTCCAACCACGCTACATGACTTACCTTTCTATTTTTCTTTCTGTTCCCAGTAGATTCTCTTCCTATCGATCACAGTATTTCCTTGCTCTCCCACCACTCAAATTCCCAGGTCTTTATTTTCCAACAAGAAATTTAATTTGTCCGGTTTTAGTCGTCATTAATTCATCTTGACTTGTTTTATCTTTAATTTAGTAAGAGATTTGTGTAATTGGGTTCTCAAATGTCAATATCTAAACTAAATCTGGTTGTACTAATTTATTTATTTTGATCACCTAAGAAATTTTATTACCTTGAGAAATTGAATTACATTCAGATAATAAGGGTTTGACGGATTATATGTACTAATTTTAGCATTCTTTGGTTCTAACCTGCGTGGTAGGTTTTTATAGAATTACTTAGCATATTCTAGTTACGAGCAATGGAAGCATAACATAAGTGTGTATAAGCATAACGGAACTACATAATCTCTCTCATATGGGAGATGTTACAATGTGCACTTTCAAAAAGGTACATATGGTATGTCTTTCATAACTTTTTCACAAAATTTCATAACTTAAACACAAAATGTAATAACTTTTTCACTACAAAAGTCATAACTTTTTTCACTAAAAAATGTTATAATAAAATCTCAAAGTGTCTAACATAAATTTTCTATTCATAACTTTACTGCAAAATGTTATAGCATACATCACAAACATTCATAACATTTATCATAAAAAAATTTAACTTTTTTACAATGTGCACCATTTGAAAGGGTGCACATTGTAAATTTCTCCCTTACATATGCCAGTATATTTCTAATTTTTGTTTTGCTTGGGTTACATGAATTTCCCTACCTTGTCCTTTATATAGAACTAAGATATTCTGTTACAATCACTGTTACAAAAATCTTACAACAGTAGTTTAAGTCGATGGTTTAAGCCCAAAATACAATCAATCATGGTTTAAGCCCAAAATAAAATCATCTTTGCAAGAAGATTATTGTAGAGAGAAATTTCATGTAGATAACCATATCATATTCCTATGCAAATCTACTCAATACATTCCTATAACAAAAATAATTTAAACAAATGTACCACTCAGCATAAATGTCTAGAAAATTGTGAATTACTATTTTCAACAACTTAAACCTTAAGGACGTTGGAAAAAAAAAAAAAAAACTCAAGGACTTTGAACCTTTTTCATCAGACGAGGTCAAGAAGAAAGAAATTTTTTTTGGGTGAAAGAAAGAAAGAAAGAAAATTACTACAAGAAAAAAAAGACTTTTCTAACATTTATAAAAAGCTACCATATAATATAATTCCTTGCATTTTCCATAAACACCGTTTTATTATTATTATTATTCCCGGCGTTAGTAAATTCAAGGAACATTTGCGACACTATTTTATTGGGATTTGTGAAAAATGCATCGAAGGCTTTTGCCGACATTTTTGTGACTTTTATTAGGATAAAATAAAAAACGCTGGGAATTTAAAGTTGTTATTCCTTGTAGTGAATTGATATTAAAGCTCAAATAATCAAAAGCATGACTCTTATGTTAATACACACACGCACACGCACTCAATAATACAAAATCAGAAATAAAGAACAGTTTTAATTATTTCATAAAGAGAAAACAATCATTGTCTAACCTTCCCAAAAAATATAATCACTATGGTTTCAACACAACAAACCATCTTTTGTATTATTTAAAAGGCTTTGCTCTCAAATTCTCAACGCCATTGTATGCAATCAACAACTACGGCACATTTTGGCTTACTCATCGCAGGAAATGCCTTGACTGCCATTGCCCTTATCTCCTTCATCCGCCTGCAAGAAGCAATTATTATAGGTAATTAGTCATATAATTAAATCTCAACTTACAAATTATTCGAAATGTAACTCGATTAATGTTACATAATAATCAACTATCAAAAAATGATTAGTTATTACAAATAGGAGCAGTTAAACCTAGTGGTGTTGTTAAATATAGTGAAGGACCTAGCTGCAAAAGCGAAAAAAAGTGAGTTTCTAAAAATTTCAAGGAAAGTGAAATAAGTATGGTGCAATTCAGTGAAATGAGCAGGTATTCGAAGCATTGCGTATGCCTGCTCATTTTGTTGCTTGGAAGTATACTGAAGCACGTCTTTTTTAGAGCGACATTGGTTTCTAGTGCTCAATTCAATGAAATACTGCGCAAGCGGAATAATACACACAAAAAAAGGTCAAAGTAAAAATAAAAATCACTAGTTTCAATGATAATCATAATACAACAGTAGTTCAATATTTTCTTTACACAATTACAATTAAAGGCTTGTGTACAAATAATGCGAATAACTAAGATGTTGATCAGATCACTTTTTTTCTGTGATTAATTTACTATTTAACTCTGAATAATTGTATAAACTTTGCAACTCATCTGCTTCTCCTGATGAATAACAAATGCAAATAAGGGAGAGAAGGAAAATAAAAATCAAATGGAGTTAATGCAAGCACAAAAGGAAATATTTCGGGCAATTCTCTGTACCAATGGGAAAATGCAATCCAGGCCGGCGTGCATTTCTAGTTTTGTGGATTGCTAAAGAAACCCTAAAATGTTGCAAACTTCCCAATCTTTAAACCAAAAAAAAAAAAAAATGTTGCCCTAGCCCAGGAGAAAAAGATTTTTAATTTTATTAATTTATTTTTATGCAGATTGAAGTAGCTTATCTTCATTTGTGACACGACACTCATTAGACACTTTCTAACACTTAGATACATACGAAATATCTTATAAGTTTGAATAAAATAATTTCGAATTTAATGATAAAATAAAAATAATATAAATTTATATCTATTATCTTTTTTTAGACTTTAAAAAATATTATTTTTGAATTAAATATTCATATATATATGATATATAATAATTGTTTATCATTTTCTATGATATAATACATATAAAAAATTATTTATTTTGCATGGAATTACAACTTCTTGACATAATATATGATTATATTTTGCAAAATTATATATATGATATATAACTTCTTACATGTTTTGAAATTTTTTTTGTCCATGAGTCCGCTTTGTACCTGTATCGTGTTGTGTTCGAGCATCTTAGGAATTAATCAAGTGAATAAAATAAAAGAATCATTCAAACTTTGTTGATCAAAATTCTTGAGTAAAGTTGAGAGTCAAGAAGTTATAATTCCATCAGTTCAGTAGATCAAATAGACGTTAGCCACAAAAATCCTAAATTCATCAAAGTTAATTCAGAAACATTGACTCATCAACAGTGAGTAACTTTGATAAATTAGTGTTTCTGAATTCAAAGAAATCCTTGCTCCCCCCCCCCCCCAAAAAAAAATAATCATAAAAGAGAAGGCAACTTTCCAAAAATATAAATAATAAAAATAGAATAAAAAGCAAAGACAACTTTGTGAATAAATTAAACACAAATCAGTTGCTGGAATTGCACAAAGTTGTCTTTGATTTTTATTATTTTTTTAAAAAAATTTGGAGATCTTTTGAATTCAGAAACACTGATTCATTAAAGTGACTCTTTGTGCAATACTAGCAACCGATCCATATCTACTCCATTCACAAAGTTAGAATCTATGATTTGTGTTTCCCAAAACACATAAATGTGAAAAATCAATGGATCAAAGGTATAATCTCATTAGGGAAATTACTAAACCCTATTCCACTTCAAGCAAAAAAAGATAGAACAACACAAATCATAGATATCCAAAAATTTATATATACATATTAGAAATAGATCCAATGCTTTTTTTTAGATCCATTTTCATGGAAGGCACATAGATCTATCTTCTTTGCTGATCAAAAAAAAAAAAAAAAAAAAAATCTTGAATTTACCTTGTCAACATGGCCTGCACTTCTACCATTCACTCGAGTATTTCTCAGTATAACCCAACCTGAGGGTAGCCAACTAGGATATCCCTCGAGCTCTAATTGTTCTTGCAGCACCACCATCTTTGGTGGTCTTCCCTTTCGTTTTCTAGGGTTTTCTTCTAGTACCGCCGATGGTGGGGGTGGGGGTGGAAGTGGAGGTGGGGGTGGATTTTCACTTGCACCCTTTGCCACATTTTTCTCAGCAAGTGATCTAAGAGAAGATTGTGCTTCATCAGGTTCATTTTTTGCTTGATCTTTGGATTTTGATTTAGATCTCTTGTACTCAGCTTGTAAGGCCTCAAGCTCTGGATCAGCTGATACATCAGAGCAAATTGGTGAGCAGTCAACAAAGATAGAAAGATCATAGTCATCTGCCATTTCACACAGAGAGAGAGAGAGAGAGAGAGAGAGAGAGAGAGAACAAGTTTTATGTAGAGTGACAGAGGGTGAGATAACAAGTTTTCTGTGGACTGACTAGTTATAGAGAGTAGAGAGTTACAGACCATACACAAATATGAAGAAAACAAAAATCTGGAACTGGTTTGTGTGTTTAATTAGGATTAGGATAACCTAGCTGTTGGATTAGCTATTAAGGGAAGGTTAAATGGTGATGTCCATATTGGGTTGCCCTATTAAAAAGGCCACCATGCAAAGATTTGAACATGATTCCCCAACAAAAGTCACTCCGAGGGGACACCAGTTTGACTCTTGTATTTTTAAAAAAATAAAAAAAATTACATTTTAGTTCCTATAATTTTAATTTTATCAATTTAAATATTACACTTTTAATTATATTTCAATGTATTGGCCATGTGCAACTCATGTGTCAATTTTTTTGCAATTCTAGCATAAGAAAGAAAAATAGATAAATTACACTGATGATTCCTATAGTTCCTTTTAAATTTTTTGTTCTCACACTTCTAATTATATTTCAATGTCGTCCTTCTATCAATTGTTATTATCACTTTGGAAGAAAAAAGACTACATGCAACTCATGAGCAAATTTTTAGCAATTCCCACACAAGAAAGAAAAATAAATAAATTACTCTAATAATTCCTATAGTTTATTTTGTGTGCGAGTTTACGCTGAGTTGTCATAATTAATATGGTCTAATGAGGTTTATTGCAAGGTTAGAAATGATTTATCCAGTAATGGTAACATGTGGATTACTAGAATCTCCAACATTAACTGCACTAATGGTGTTCACATTATGGGCATGAATTGATCAGTGAATTTGAGATGGGATTATGGTAATTATCCTAGCAATGACTATTTAAACATGTTATTTTAAAATTCCGTTCAAGCATTTTCATAATGTGTTGTTTATTATGTCAAATTTAGCCCGATATTTGCACGATAAATGGATAAATTTTTAATTATTAACTTCTTTCAATTTATTATATATATTTTTATTTATTTATTTATTTTTTAATCGGCAAAAGTTAATTGCCAATTATTAGAGTAACACCTATGGGAGTTAGCCTCCTAACCTTTGCAAAGTACCAAGTGTTTGTCTTATTAATTCAATTTTCCCTTAGGAAGAGTTGAACATATGATCTCCCCCTTAATACTAAGCCCTTAGGAGAATCATGGTGGACTAAGTCTATAAATTTATTATATCGTCCCCTCTAAATGTCATATCATGTATTTTTTTAATACAAATTCAATAAAATAATTTAACAAAAATATTTTTGTTTTAAAAATACTAACCGTCAAATTAAAATAATTTTAATTGGAAATACAATTTGAAGATATTCTATCATAATATACTAACCATTTAATTTTATTTGATTTATATAATATTTTAACATTGACACAATTAAAATTGCATGATCTACTGATATATACATCAAAGAAATTGGTGAGCAATCGACGATGGCCTTGTGGCCAAATGGCATGGGTGTAGTGCTTAGCTGCTTGCAAGGGTGAGGTTGGGGGTTCAACTCTCCCAGCGTGCTAATCTAATAATTTACAACTAACTTCCACCAATAAAAAACAAATAGTGAGCAATCAAAAAAGATAGAAGATCATAGTCATCTCTCATTTTTGAGAGAGATGACAAGTTTTTTTTTTTTTTTTGAGAGAGAGAGAGATAACAAATTTCATGTGGACTTGTTATAGAGAGTAGAGAGTTACAGACCATGTACAGATACGAAAACAAAAATAAAGAATTGGGTTGTGTAGGTTAACTTAGGATTAGGATAATCTAGCTGTTGGATTAGCTATTAAGGGAAGGTCAAATGGTGAAGTGGTGACACAAATTCCACTCTCTTTCATTCTAATGTATTCTTGAAAAAATAAAAATAAAAATTACATTGTTGGTATCTCCAATTTGAGTTAAATTTTATTTTGGTCATTGTAGTTTCAAATTTTATCAATTTAAACCTCACACTTCCAATTACATTTCAATGTGTAGGCCATATGCAACTCACGTGGGAATTTTTAGCAATTCCCACACAAGAAAGAAAAATAAATAAATGATACTAATAATCCCTATAATTTTTTGAAATCCATTACGGTCTCTTAAGTTTTGCACGTGTTACTTTTTTTTTTTTTAAATCCAAAATGTTAATGATAATTGACAAAGAGACCACATTGTAAAACAAATTAAAAGTGTAATATATAAATTGATGAAATTGAAATTATAGGAATCGAATTATAAATAATATGATTATTTTAGTTATGATGCAAATTACAATAATGGTTGTTCCATCTATTGAATTTAAATGACAGCTTATAGAATTAGCTAATTTAATGTAATTTTTTTATCTAAAATATATTCAGCATCCTTAGAAATGACTAATGCAGTAATGGAAACCCTATACATTGCTAGATTCTCCAACACTTATTAACCACACTAATGATGTTCACATTTTGACTTGAATTGATTACTGAATTTTTTAGATGGGATTATGGTGATGAGCTCTTAGAATTATTATCCTAGGAAGTAATTCATTTCAAAAATAAAAAATAAAAAATAAAAAATTCCACCACTATGGGCTTTTCTCCAAAGAATTGGTGTGCTCCAAAGCAATGCATCAACTTTATGTGTGTTTTGCAAAGCTGAGATTGAAACTGTGAACCATGTCATGGTGTCTTGCCTATTTGCGTCAATTGTGTGGATTGAAATGCTAAATTGGTGGGATGTTCAAGAGGCCTTACCTGGAGCTGTTGAAAGGTTACTTCCATGGTGGGATAACGAAAAATTTGGAGGGGGCATACCTCTGGTTGTGCTGTGGTCCTTGTGGAAGCTTAGAAATGATGTTGTGTTCAATGCATTAGTCTCTAATGTGGCTGAGTTATGTGAAGTGATAAAAGTCAAAGTTGCATTACGGTTGAGACCATATTACTCAGAGCATAGTTTTACAGTTCAGGATTTTGTGCTTAATCTTAGGCAAATGAAAAGGTGCATTTTAGGAAGAAGAGTGTAAGGTTCTTGTCCTGTCTTCCTTGTCTTTGTTGCTGTGTTTTCTCTAGCTTTTATTATTCTAGTTGGATCCTCTCCAACTGGGTCTTTATTGATGTTATCTGTTGTAATTGTAATGCATTTTGATCATCAATAAAGTTTTTCGCTGAAGAATTCTTGAAGTAGTTTGTATTTTTTCCTTAGATTATAATGAGAGATTACAATCTATATTTATACAGTGTTTCTGTAACAAACTAACAACCTAACTATACCACTAACCAACTACACATTATCTAACTAATCAACTAACCAATGCTGTTACAATCTAACTAAAGCTGTTACAGAGTATTACAGTATACACCTGCAGTACATTATACTTCATAGACCTCTTCCTTATCATGCCCCCTCAGACTGAGAGGGGGAAGACCAACACGAAGCTTGGAAGTGAGGAAGGAAAATTTGGCAATGGATAAGGACTTTGTAAATATGTCAGCCAATTGATCCAAAGAGGGAACATATTTGAGAAGGAACTTGTGACCTGCAACCTTTTCTCAGATGAATTGGCAGTCTACTTTAATGTGTTTAGACCGATTGTAGAAGGATGGATTAGTAGCTAAGGACAAGGCAGGCAGGTTGTCGCACCAAAGAACCGGTGGAGATGGTTGTGGAATGTGAAAATCAGCAAGAAACATTTGTAACCAAGTGATCTCAACAGCAATGTGAGCTAAGGACCGATATTCAGCCTCGATTGAGGAGCGAGACACAGTGGATTGTTTCTTGGAGGACCAAGAAATGAGATTGGAACCCAAGAACACACAGTAACCAGAGGTGGATCATCTATCAGTGGCATTACCAGCCAAATTGGAGTCAGAGTAGGCAGTGAGATTAAAAGAACTAGGAGCAAACAGAAGACCATGAGAAATGGAGCCTTTAATGTAGCGCAAGATATGTTTAACAGCTGAAAAATGACCCATAGTAGGAGCATGCATATGTTAGCAAACTTGGTTGACAGTATAGAAGAGCTCAGGTCGAGTGATAATGAGATACTGAAGGGCATCCACAAGGCTGCGATAGAGAAACTATTGAGAGAATGAGAGAGAATTAAAAGCAGTAAGAGAGGATTTAGCTGAGGTAGGTGTGGCACATGATTTGCAAGTAGTCATACATGCTTTAAGAAAAAGCTCAGAGGCATATTTTTGCTGGGAAAGAAAGAAGCCTTGAGCAAAGGACTGAACTGAAATGCCTAAGAAATAGGAAATATCCCCTAATTCTTTCATGGAAAAGACATTGTGCATTTGAGTTAATAGAGAAGCAAGATAGGACTGATTAGAGCCAGTGAGGAGAATATCATCCGCATAGATAAGAAGAAAGGTAATAGAAGAAGAGGTAGAATGGATGAAAAGAGAAGAATCACAATGACTTTGAACAAAACCTTGAGAGAGAAGAAAGGAGGAGAAAGTAGAATACCATGCTCGAGGGGTCTGTTTCAAGCCATAGAGGGCCTTGTGAAGTTTGCAGACAAGAGTATGCTGAGAAGGATCAACAAAGCCTGGAGGCTGCTCTATGTAAACTTCTTCATCTAACTTGCCATGTAAAAAGGCATTAGAGATGTTCAGTTGTTTGAGAGGCCAATGATTATGAAGGGCTAAACAGATGAAAATGCGAATAGTTGGTTGTTTGGCCACAGGGCTAAAAGTATCATGAAAGTCAATGCCATGTTGCTGATGAAAACCCTTAGCCACAAGTCTGGCTTTGTGCCTTGCAATAGAGCTATCAAAATTTTTCTTCACTTTGAAGACCCATTTACATCTTATAGCCTGTTTGGAAGGAGGTAAAGAAATAAGAGTCCATGTGCCTTGGTGTCGAAGAGCGGCATACTCATCAAGCATTGCTTGGAACCAGACTGAAGAAGTAAGAGTAGACTTATAAGAGAAGGCTCAATATCAAAAAAAGAAAATGAGTCAGCAAAAGAAGTGAGGGTAGAAAAAAAACAAGTAATATGAGATTTGGATTTGGTTTGCATAGGATAAGAATTGATAGCAGAATGGAAGGAAGAAGTAAAACAACAAAAAGAGAATCAATAGGAATGGAGGGATGTGAAGAAGGCTTAGCTGGTACAGCTGATTGAGACAAGATAGAATGATGCTGGACAGAGCTAGGCTGTGTAGATCGGGCAGGTGGAACCTGAGCAGTAGACTGTGGTTGTGCAGATGTAGACTGAAAATAAGGCTATGCAGATATAGGGAAAGTAAGAGAGGCAGAAGACCTGGTTTGTGTGGACTGCTGGGCCAAAGCAGACTTGGATTGAGAGGAACTATGCTGAGGAGTTGGTGACCAAAAGAAATCCTATAATTGAGGAAGAGAAGAAACAAAAGAAAGAATAGTAGAAGAGGAAAAAGGAAATTCATGTTCATGAAATGTAACATGTCTAGATAAATGAATTTTTCCTGTCTTGGGATCTAAACATCGATAACCTTTAATACTAGGATAATAGCCTAGAAAAACACAAGGAGTAGATTTAGGAGCCAACTTATGAGAAGTATAAGGTTTAAGCCATGGGAAACAAAGATAACCAAACACTTTAAGTATAGAATAATTAGGAGAAGTGTGATAAAGCAACTCAAAAGGAGAGCAATTATCAAGAGAAACACTAGGTAATCGATTGATCAAATATGTGGCAGCTACAATGGCATCAAACCAATAGAGAAGAGGCATAGAGGATTGATAAAGAAGAGAAATAGTAGTTTCAGTGAAGTGTAAGTGCTTCCTCTCAGCCACTCCATTTTGAGATGGTGTATGTGGACATGAAAATTGATGGTGAATGCCATGAGTGTGTAAATAATGCTAGAGAGGATGATTCTTGTATTCACCACCTTTATCACTACGAAGAATTTTAAGAGGAAAACCAAATTGTTTTTCCATAAAAGCTTTGAACTCCATAAATTTGGCACACACTTCACTTTTATAAACAAGAGGATAAAGCCAAGTAAATCTGGTAAAATCATCAATGAATAACACATAATATTTGTAAGGAGAAGCAAAATTACTAAAGGGACCCCATACATCACTGTGAATCAAAGCAAGTGGATTATTGACAGTGGAATTAGACAGTTTAAATGGTAGTCTATGACATTTGGCTATAGAGCAATGTACACAAGAAATTATGCGTTTATTGGAAACTATAGATAAAGGTAACTTGTGTCTAAGCAAATAAAACTTAAGAGAGGATGGATGGCCTAATCTCTGATGCCAAATGTCAGTAGAAGTAGCAAATGTAACTGTAGGCATGTGATAAAGCAGTAGATGGAGTGTGAAATTAATGTAATCCATTGGCATAAAAACCTCTATGGAGTATGGCCTTGGAAAGCTTGTTCTGAAGAGCAAAAAAAGAATGATCAAATGTGATAGAACAGTGATTATCTTTAGCCAAGTGATGCACAAAGACAAGATTAGAGTTAATGGAAGGAACATGCAAAACTTTGATTAGTTTGAAAGAATGGTGGGGAATAGGCAATATACCTTGACCTGTGTGAGTGATAGGAAGTGAAGAACCATTACCAATAGTGACTTGATCACCAACAGTGTAGGGTTGAATGTAGTTACGTTGGTGAAGATTATTAGTGATATGATCAGAAGTAGCTGAGTCCAAAAACCAGGGAGAGGAACAAGAACCATTGTCCTCAGTTAAAAAGGTAACATATGCCTTAAATGGATGAGACTGTTATGGCTGAGAGTGAGACTGAAATTGTTGGGGCTGAGGCACTTGTGAAGACTGAAATTGAGTATCTAGCCTATGCCAACAGTCAAGATCTATATGATTGGCTTTGCCACAGATTTGGCAAACAATGCCAAACATAGACCTTCCTTTTCCTTGAGATTTGCCACTAGAAGATCTGCTTGAAGAGGATCGAGTGCCTCTATGGGAACCTCTAGAATCACCACGAGAATAACCTCTGTTATAATGATAAGAAGTAAATCCTCTAGAAGAAGCAGTAGAAGCATTAGAATCTTTCATAGTTGCATAAGCAACAGTTAGATTTGAAGCTTGTTTTAATTTTCCTTCAATGTGAATAGCCTCTGAACATAGTAAAGCAGAAAGATCATCCATAGGAATTGACTCTACACGAGTTCGAATAGCCATTTTGACAACATCATATTCAGAAGGTAATCCATTTAGTATAAGAAGAACTATATCTTCATCTTCCACAAATGATGAAGCAATACTCAACTGATCAACAATACTTTTGATTTTGCTTGGATACACCTCCATTGAGTCTGATTCCTTTGAAATAGAACTCAATTTGTTTTTTAATTGGTGGATATGAGACCTAGAGAGAGAGGTAAAACGTTTTTTGAGAAATCGCCAAACCTGACCACTGGTGTGAAGATGCAATACTGAAGCAAAAATCGCAGGAGAGAGAGTAGCAGTTATGTAGCTGAGGAGATGTGCATCGGTCATCTTTCATTTAATATCTTATGGATTTGGAACTTCTGTTCCTACAGCATTTCCCACTGTATCAACAGGACACTTCTTGGATCGATCAACAATTGTGAGTAGATCAGTTGCTCGAAGCAAATTTTGTATTTGATTCTTCCAAATTACAAAATTTGAGCTATCTAGCTTCACTGTCACAAGAGAACTAAGATTTGATATCAGTAGATTGAGATTCGAACAAATTAGAATAGAAGATGACTCCATTGATGGACCTTGAGGATTGCTCATTAGAGCTTATTCAGGCTCTGATACTATGAAGAATTCTTGAAGTAGTTTTTGTATTTCTTCCTTAGATTATAATGAGAGATTATAATCTATATTTATACAGTATTTCTGAAACAAACTAACAACCTAACTAATCAACTAACCAATGTTGTTACAATCTACACATTATCTAACTAATCAACTAACTAATGTTGTTACAATCTAACTAAAGCTGTTACAACTATTACAGAATATTACAGTATACACTTGCAGTACATTATACTTCATGAACCTTTTCCTTATCAGTTTCAAAAAAAAAAAAAAAAAAAGGGCTCAAAACTAGATGAAACTTTACATTGAGAAGTTTCCCTCAAATATTTCTTTTAACTTCACTTTTAGAAAGTGTTTTTGTTTGTGACAAGAAGAAACCCTAACAAGCCAATGTATTTTTTTTTTTAAATGTAACTGAATGAAAATTGATGATTTCTCAATAACTAATTGGGGCATCTAGCAATTTTTAATACATTTAGGGCAAGTCTCTCCGTTGCTATTCTATTGTGCTATCGTTAAGATTTTCTACCATGGGCACAAAACACACTCTAATAATAAATTCATTTTTTGTTGTAAAAAAAGCACATACTCCAACAATATTTTATTTATTGTGTCAAATTTTGCATGAATTTAGCATGATGATTGTTTGACTATTAACTTCTTCTTTTTTTTTTTTATAAAAAATTCATATCATGTATTTTTTTATACAAATCTAATAAATTAATATAACAAAAATATTTTCTTTTTAAAAATACTAACCATTGTTGTAAAATAATTTAATTTAAAATGCAATTTGAAGATATTCAACCATAAAATGTTGACTATCTAATTTTATTTAATTTATCTAATATTTTAATTAAAATATCAATTGAAAAACACTACCAATATTTATAATTAGGAACATATTATTGCATTGTCACTACAGGAAATGCCACTTTTGGCGACCAAAATATTGGTCGCCAAAAGTCCCATTTTTGGTCGCCGAAACAAATTAGCGACTAATATTTTTTGTCGCCAAAGTCGTTGCCTATAGCCTGTTGGTGATAGTATTGGCGACTAAACTATTTTTGGTCGCTGAAAGTGAACGTTTTGGCTACTAAACTCTGGTTAGTCGGCGAAGGTTATCTTTTGGCGACTAAAATATTAGTCGCCGAAGCATTTAGCAAATAAGTATAGATAATTAAACAACTTAAATAGAAAGATAATTAAATTGATGATTGGAAAGCTCTTGGAACGAGTGGATCAAAATTTCCAAGTAATATCAACAAATTTTTTTTTTGCTAGAACGAGATCCGCTAAGGGAAAAAGAAGATAAAAAATGAGAGATCCTGAGGTCAAATCCAAAATTTAATTCTTCTCAAGTTTGCAGTTACTTACATTTTTACTGATGAGAATCATAATAAAATTGCACTTATATGGTTTGTTTAGACAATCATAAATGCCCAGTATGAATCTAAAGTGTTGTATCAAACAATCCTTATGATAAGAGAATAAGAGTTACTAAGATATCTAGGTTATATTTGTTTGCTTAGAGAAAAAAGAGGTAGCATAATAATTGTAAATAATTTAAAATGCCAAATGAATATCTCCGTTCCAATAATGTAATGTAATGGGGATAATGTTTTGCTCAATCAATGTGTTTCCTGAATCATTCAAAATAGTGAAAATAATTGAAAATATAAAAGCTTGAGAAGAAGTGATATTACCTTTTGTAGCTCTTTGTTGAGGACAAAAACAACGATATTCTCACTAAAATAACAATAATCATATCCATATTTCAAAATCAAAACATTAACATATTAATGACAACATAATACAATTTATATCGCTAAATGGATATCTCCATTCCAATAATGTAATAGAGAGGATTTGGCTCTAATCATTTGCTACGCATATAGCATGTGACACATATCTAAGCATAAAAAGTAAGAACTAACACGCATATACCCAATCTATTTTCCAAGCATGTTTTGCTCAATCAATGTGTTTCCTGAATCATTCAAAATAGTGAAAAAAAATAAAAAATGAAAATATAGAAACTTGAGAAGAAGTGATGTTACCTTATGTAGCTCTTACTGAGAAAAAACAACGACGACATTCTAACTAAAATAATGTAAGCATATCTATATTTCAATATTAGAACATTAACATATTAATTACTATATAATAATGGTAAATGATTTAAATTGCTAAACGGATATCTCCATGCCAATAATCTAATAGATAGGATCTACCTCCACCCCCGGGGCCTCATTTTTGGCCGGCCGACCGCCGCCTTCGGCTATGGCGGTCGGCTGGCCCAGCTCTCTTTTTGTCTTTGTGTGCTAGTTTCTGCTGTTAATAAACTTGATTCCCACAATTTCTAACCACTTTGATGTCCTTTGTTGTTTCATTTGGGGGTGCTTCGGGTGTTTGTTATGTATCTTTGGGGCGTTTTGTTTTGCTGTCTGTTTTCCGTTTTCTACCTTGGGGTTGCTTGTTCTGTTTCAACAGGGGGTGGATCTTCATTCGGGCGCTCTCTTGCGAGTGGGAGTTTGAGGGATGAGCTCGGTTTCGGATCTATGGAGTTGCTTCGGTGCTTTGTTCGGGGGAACTTGGGTGTTGAAGTTGATTCAGGTCTGTCTAAGATTTCATTCGAGCGCTCCTTTTCAAGTGGGAGTTTGAGGGGTGAACTTCATCCAGATGTACGGTGGTGTCTCGGAGGTTGTTCGATGCTTTGGGTTGTCATCACCGGGGATTTTGCAGTGGGTGTGTTCGGTGTTTGGATCGGAAAGCTGTGTCCGACCATGGAAGTGGTGATGGCAGTGGGTGTGCTCGGCTGCAATGAGTGCTGGGTGTGGAGTTTTTTTTTCCAGCCATGGAGTTTTTCCGGCCATAGGTGTAGTTTCAGTGTTCCGGCCATAGAGTGGGGGAAGCCCGATGGAGATGTCAGGCGTGGATGAAGGCTGGTGGTAGGAGTATCAGGAGCAGGTCAGCTAGGCGTGGTTGGTAGTAGCTTAGGTGTGGGCTTGGCGTGTTGCAGAAGCTTAGGCGTGGGTGGCGTATTCAGATGGGTGGTTGGCCTGGGGAGTGCAGCTTGGGTGTTGAATTAGTTGTCTTTTGTTTGTTGTTTAGAGGATTGCAAGAGCTGTTTGGGTATTTTAGTGGGATGATTTGGTGGGAATCATGTATTTTACTTTCTGTTAAGTTCTTCTTAACTTTTATGTTTTTTTAAAAAAAAAAATTCGTGAGGCAAAGGGGTTGGTTGTATGGCTGCGAGTAGCAGTAGTAGGGGTATTTTGTACCTTCCGAATCTCTCTCAGTGCATTTCATCTTCCTGTACCTTTAATTTCAAGTTGATTAATGAAATTTTTCTTTGCTGATAAAAAAAAAACATGTATAATTAAACTAATCTACTTTCCAATCATGTTTTTACTCAATCAATGTGTTTCCTTGAATCATTCAAAATAGTGAATAATTGAAAATCTAGAAACTTGAGAAGAAATGATATTATGTTGTCTAACTCTTGTCGAGGACAAAAATAACGATATTCTCACCAAAACATTAATTTATTAATTACAGTCATCTATATTTACTATCGTAGACTAAAATGACCAAAATGAGGAAAATTCACTTAGAAGGTGCTAATCTACTAAAAAAAATGAGCTATCTGCAACTCATACAGTGTGTGGTACATGTCCAATCACAAAAATCAAGAATTAACATGTATAATTAAACTAATCTACTTTCCAATCATGTTTTTACTCAATCAATGTGTTTCCTTGAATCATTCAAAATAGTGAATAATTGAAAATCTAGAAACTTAAGAAGAAATGATATTATGTTGTCTAACTCTTGTCGAGGACAAAAATAACGATATTCTCACTAAAATAACAGTAAGCATACCTACCTCTCAACACCAAAACATTAATTTATTAATTACAGTCATCTATATTTTACTATCGTAGACTAAAATGACCAAAATGAGGAAAATTCACTTAGAAGGTGCTAATCTACTAAAAAAAATGAGCTAGTGTGAGAATGAAAAATATTAATTTATTAATTACAGTCATCTATATTTTACTATCGTAAACTAAAATGACCAAAACGAGGAAAATTCACTCAGAAGGTGCTAATCTACTAAAAAAAATGAGCTAGTGTGAGAACGAAAGTTATAACTAAAACAACCAAATTCATCGCTAAAAGTTTGCATTAAGAAAAGTTGCCACGAGTTCAAGTTTAAAAATTCGTTGCTAAAAGTATTAGTGAGGACTTTCTTTAGTCGTCAGCAGATGTCACTCATTTAGTGACACATTTACTGATTATTTCTCCCACTTCAAAATCATTTCAAATAATTTTAAAAGTAATTATATTATTTAGTGTTTTGAGTTTTACATAATGAGAAGGTACATCCCTCAGGGATGGAGTTCTAGATAGATTGAAATGGAATGCAGAAAAGTCTAGTGCATATACTGTTGCCTTTGCCTACAAGTGGAATGAATTACCATCTGCTGTGCCTGCAAACTTAGGGGATTTCATTTGGAAGAATGTGGCTCCACCGAAAGTGCAATTTTTTGGGTGGTTAGCATGGAAAGAGAGGATCAAGACATCCTACTATTTGCAAAGAATTAGAGTCCTCAGTGATACTTAAATTGTTAACTGTATCTTCTATAGGAATGAATTGGAAACCGTCACTTAAGTGCTGCTGTGTTGCCCTTTTAGTTGGAAAATTTGGTCCAATGTTATCAAGTGGCAGGGAGTATCTTGGGTGCAGCCGAGGTTAGTTTCTGGTCTTTTGTAGTGGTGGGCTGGTTATAGATGCAACAAAAGGGTGAGGGTGCTCTGGAAGATCATTCCATTAGCAGTGCTATGGTTTTTATGGAAGTAGAGGAATGAAAGTCTGTTTAATGGCACACAGGTAGATTTGAAAAAGTTGTGTGAACTTATTAAAATACGAATTGCACTGTGGTTTAGAGCCTCTAGACCTTATTTTTGCTACTCAGTCAATGATATTGTGTTCAATTTGCAAAATGTGAAGTTTTGAATTATGCACTGATAGGGTTGGTCTGAGATTTGTCTGCTACTATGCCCTGTTGTGGATCTAATGTTTATCTGTTGCATTTGGTGGGAGGAAGTGTGCTGGTCTTTGCTGGGTTTTGTTGGTTTTTGCTATTGTGCTGGTATTTGCTGAGATTAACCCATTGGTTCCCCAATCATATTTCTGGTTACTTGTTGGTTTTCTTGCACTGGTTTCTTGCTGCTATAGAGTTTTGTAGGGTAGGATTGCTTAGCAGTGGCTACAACTTATGGGCTAGATTGGATTGCTTAGTAGTGGCTGCAATTTGAGAACTGGTGTTAGGTTCTGGCTTTTTGTTGCTTAGCAGTGGACTGGCTGCTGGATTTTCTTTACTTTTGATCTGTTTGTTGGTCTCTCACCAACTAGGAGGTTAGAGCTTGAACTTGCTCCAAGCTCTTCTTTATTGATGTAATTTACTATACTTTGTATGTGTTTTTATCAATAAAGTCTTCTTTTTTTCGATAAAAAAAAATTTAGAATTTGGATACAGGACATTGTTGGATATAGTAGTTGCCATAAAAATTAAATTTTGATTCTCAACCATTGTTGATTTTGTGACATTTTGTTTGATTTTTATGACTACGACTTATAATCAAATGAATAAAATAGAGAGCCAAACATTCAAATTCATCAATACTAAAAAGTTGTTACAAACATTTAAAAAAAAATTCAATTAAAATATAAAACAAAAAAAAATTACATTAATCATCTCTTAGATCTCTAAAAAAAAATTATCTGTAAGAAAACATTTTTGTGCATTGGATATCAAAAAAATTCACTATTTTGATGTTTTCTATTTTCTGTTTTTTATTTTTTATTTTTTTACAATAATTCTTGTTTTTCTAGATCAAGTGGTATCAATTAGGTTAGATTTTTGTCTAAGTTATGCCAAGTCTATTCACAAATTAAGTTGATGAAGCAACAATTTAGATACAGAACAATTTTGCAAGTACAAAACAAAAAAAAAAAAAAAACCAAATCTAAAAGATTATGACTATGAAACCGCAACAATGAAGTATTAACTATAAACCTCATAAAAGATAGAGCACTAACATAAATTGAGATAAAAATCAAGATATATAAGAAATATTCTAAGAATTAGAGAGTTTACTCTATCAACATGGCCAACACTCGCCCTACTTTTCTAAGCCACCCGGACTTCAATCCACCCCGATGGCAATTTAAAATGTTCATCTCTAATTGTTCTACATACAACCCTCCGCGACCCATTAGGATTTGGTCGAGGTCTAAGCCTCGAAGGCCTAACTTGTAGTTGCCTTACACTACTCTTTGGTATCACAATCTCAACATCACTGGGTATCTTTCGTGGCTTGCCACGTCACTTTAGTTACTGTAACAACCCCTATCCGTAATTAGCCACTAATCCATATTTAATGATGTTAATGAGTGGATTAAAACAAATTATGTGTTTATTCTGCACTTTGTATGATTTTGGTTTTCTATCTGTTATTTATAGAAATATCTGTTTGGAATTCCACTTTAATATGTAAATCGAAAGCCTTATCGGCACCCGAAACCGAAATTGACTACACCGATATGTTATTTGAAATTTTTAAAACCATATGGCAAGTTTTATTAAAAATTGATTTAGAACGATTTATTAAGTTGCGTTTGGCAAGCCGTATGTTTTAATTAATGTATTTTAGTATCATAACTATCTATATGAGCCCTTAAGCTCATTTGAGCTCATTTCTCTCATTCTTGAGTGCAAAATTCTGGAGATTCATTTGAGAGAGAGAGAGAGAGTGTAATTCTAGAGAGAGAAAAGAAAAGATTAAAGAGAAATTGAAGGCTATAGCTTGAATTGATCAAAGATTGTGCTAGAACAAGAGTAATTCAAGACTCTAAGTAAGATTACAACCTCTAGATTGTGTAACTAAATCATTTAATATGAAATTTCTTCAAAATTATGAGTTTGATGTGTATATTGAGCTTAGAATAAAGATTTGAGTTGCAATTCATGCATGCATGTACATTTTCTCACAAATTGAGCATGAACTCCAAGAATTCTCTCATGCATGTTTGAAATTCATCTTAATTAGGGAAGATCATCGAGTTTCAAGTTGTTTTGTGGTGTTTGATTATGTTTTGAGAAGTTTGATACAAGAAAAATTCATGCATGTTGTGTTCATAAACATTCTTGAAGTTTAAGTTGAAATTGGGAACTTTTGGCAAGCCCTTGGGTCATGATTTTATGAAATGATCCTAAATTCTTCATGTTTTACAAGTTTACTATGTTATCTCTAGTTTTGGGGCCCAAAAGATATGTTTTGGATGGTTGAATTCGAGTTTTGAGCTTGGGAGGTCAATCTGGATTTTCCAGAAATTTAACCCACGCTCAAGGGGTACTTTC